CATGAAAATGAACTTACTTGATGCAAAAGAGTTCAAAAATTGCAGTAAAACCAAATGCCAAGACTTGCACATATGTTTTGGTTAATTCATGAGCAACAGCATATGCACCAAAAGGACACGCAATCATTGCAACAAGAATGAACGAAACCAGAATCCAATGACGAAACTTTGTGCCTTTGGGGAGCCAATAATGGCTTTCCTGAAGAGAATACTGAAGAAACCAAGCTCAGAAATGTTAGCATTAAGAATAAAAAAATAAAAATAAATGATAAACATTATTGGGAAGGAATCAAGGAGGAGAAGAGGGTTTGAAGAGGAAAGAAATTGTAAAAGCTAGAGGAAAATGAAAAGAAAACTTGAGAGAAGGAAGATGAAAGAAAGAGACAGGCTTTCTCATTGGATTTCAAGAGACAAGTAAAAAATTGAAAGGTAGCTAGAGAGGGAAAGGTATAAAAATTATGATATATTAAAATCTTTTATTGAAATTGCAATTTCAGAAGCAATTTTGATAAGCTTCCTTCCTGTCTTGACTTCAGCCATTGAAACAGAGGGACTGGTTATAGAAAAATATCCTTTTCAGTTTGCCAAATGCCATTCTTCTCTTTCCTTTCTGTTTTCATTTTAACTGCCTCAATACCAAACACAAATTGAACATCAGCTCAAAATGAATAATGAGTACTGGTCTTGTTTTTTTTTCTTCTCATTTTTTCATCAGTGACTACTACTCAAAATTCCTTTGTTCAAGCCCCCCCCCCATACTGCCTATAAATATTTTTTCATGTCAAGTACCTCAACTTGATGCACTTTTCCTTATAAAGAGACAGAACAAAAGAAAGATAAAAGTGAAGGTGTAGTAGCAAATACTTGTGCATTCTTTATTCCTTTTTTGCATATAAAACTAATGCATGTTTAAGATTAGATAAAAACAGACAGAAAATGAACATTCAAAGGGATAAGGGAGAGAATCAAAGATACAGGCATAAGGTGAGAAAAGAACAGTGGCATGTAGAATCTTATTTTGTGAACACTAATGGAAATTTTAAAAATGTCCAACAAGAACATTATTGATTTGAAGTCAAGAAATGTAATTTGCTAAGATCATGAGCATGTGGGCACTCAGTGAGGATCAAACTCACGCTTCAGTAGTAAAGATCAACCAAACTGGCTTGCTAACAATTACTTCACTCTGACTTGGACACATTAGGGTATGTTAATATCAAAACAAAAGTAAGTATTAATTATGTGAGAAATGTTTAAGAAAACTGATAATTACTTTTTGGAGGCAGACCCTACACTTGGCATCCTCAGCTGTGGTAGCACTCTGAAAAGAAAAAAAATTAAAGTGAAATTGAAAATCTTGGAAAAGTAGGTGAACTAATGGCTATTGACAAACTGGGTTCAATCTCTGGCTAGAAGAGTTTGATTTCACTTCATATTAGGGCCCTTACAAAAGGTATGGAATCCACTTCTCTCCCTGAGTAAATAGTAAAGCAGAAAGAGATTTTTGTTAAATATTTTTTTTTCTTTAAGAGATTACAATTACAGTTTGTATCTGTTTCATCTGATAACCTTAGGATCTAACCTTTACCAGATCATATTGCTGGAAAACAGAATTTGATCCATATGGAAATGCTTTATGCAAATATACTGAGAGATTAGTATATTTTTATTTATTATATTAAATGAAAATTATTTGTGTTTAACTTAGACTTTTTAATTGTTTTTTTATCCATTTCACTCCAAACAAAGTGATAATACCACTAAAATGCAAGTTGGTTAATGAGAGTGAAAGAGAATGAGAAGATTTTAAGAGAAGAAACTGGAAAACTAATCCTACACAGGAAACAAGAGATAAACCTCTATTCCTGTTCAAAAGATTGGGAAAGAGTGCAAACCAGGTGATAGGCAAACCTATCTACTCTACTACTGAAGGAAAAATGTGTAGAGATTAAATTAAAAAAAATTAGTAAATAAAATTATGGAGTTTAGGCAGAGATGCTAGAATTGTAGATTTAAACTAAGGGCATATCAATTCTCAAGAACAAAAAAAATGTATAAATTCACTTTCAAATTTTTAGAATGTAATAAAATTTTAATCAATGCTTTTTTTTAAAACAATAAACATTGCTGAAGGTAGTTAAAATAATAGCAATGTAAATAAAAAAATGTCCTTTTGACACTCCACTTTTTTGTGGGCACAAACGTTCAAATTTTGTAGATTTTAATTTTCCTGTGACAAACACATTGACACTTACACTGCTTTGAACAAACATATGTCTTTACAGAAATAACACTGCCTGCTGTCTATATATATATATATATATATATATATATATATATATATAGGGGATAATGATATATAAATTTTTATATATCAAGAATAATTCTGGAGAAAAGATGTATGACAAAGTAGAAAAAGTTTTTGGGTGATACATTTCATCCTTTATGACTTCATCAGACTAGGTTTGTTTACCTTAATACAACTACACATACACCTCTTGTTAGTGTGCATGTGTAGTTGTATCAATGTAAACAAACCTAGTCTGATGAAGTCCTAAAGAACAAAAAAACATCACACGAAAAAAATTTCCACTTTGTCATATATCTTCTTTCTCTCTCTCTATATATATATATATATATATATATATATATATTCAAAACACAGTGAAATATCAGTTCTGACTATTTGTTTTATAAACTACTGCTTTGTGTTATTTACAAACCAGCATAGACATACAGTAGTGTACAATATGATCAGTTTTGTGACCTATTCTTATTATATTGTGCATTGGGGTTGATGTTTAGATTAGTCTGTACAGCTGAGTACTTGACTGAAACCAAAATGGCAGTGTTCAGGAGAAATTGCTATCAGTGTCTTTTTATCATTTATTTTCAGTAAATAATAATTTTTTATTTTCCCTCAAAATAGGCCAGTACAGCCATGCAACAATGCTATAATAATGCATTAGTAAAAGTGTTAAAGGATTTAAAAGTATTTCAACCATCAAGCAAAGATACTACTTTGAAGCAGATGGTGAAAATTAGGTACTAAAATAATTTTTTTTTTTTGTATATGGTAGGAATAGCACCATATATATTTCTAATAATTTTTTTTTCTGGACAGAAATTATTGCAATAAATTTACCTCCACTAGCCATTTGCGTAAACATTCGTGATGTACAGCAGACATATCTCCTTTGCAATTGCATGCCTGGATGAGAGGACCAGCTTTGTGATTGTCAGGGTCATAACATATCCAACACAAAAAATTCTGGGAAGTATCAGCAGCTGAAAAGATTAGTGAAATTTATAAATTAAAATATTTCAAGCAACATTATTTTCATGTTGGGAATGTACTGGTAAAATGCACTTCCTTTTCATAATGAATGCACACAGATGCACAAACACATTCATGGGAATACATTGCAATAGGGTCAAGAGTTTAAACTAAACAATTGTCTCAAATGCTAAAACCCTTATAAAAGGGGGAGCTGCTTACCAATTGGAATAATGTGAACATCTGAATAATCTAGTTTAATCTTGTGCAATTCCCTTATGCAAACTTATTAGGTGTGTGATCGTGGGGGAAGTGGATGCACATTGTAGGCTTTACCAAAGATGCTGAATACTTTGGTGCTAGCCCAGCCTTGCCAAATCTTACACCTTAGTTAATATCAGATATAAATAAGGATCTATTTTCTTGTTGATAATTACCATTTTTGTAGAGGATCGATTAAAAGAACTCTACTATTATTATATGAAACAATAATTCTATTGTTTTTCTGATTTACATTGTTCAGACGGATGTCCTCCTCTTTATTGCCATATTCATGGCATTTCGTCCATTGTATGCTCCAGCTTTCTTCAGGTGATATACATTAGAATTTCAAACCAAGTCCAAGGGGGTAGATTGTTCTAATTCCATGTGTCATGGCTTTGGTTATCTCAGTTTTAGTTAATTCCCCTTGATAACTCTCTCTAACATGGCTAGTGATTGAACTCACAACATTTTGGGCCAAGTCATTCTGGATCAATCAACCAATGCTTTTATCACTTGGGCCAGTGGGTTTGATTTGAAATTACAAATATCACCTGAAGAATGCCAGAGGATATAATGGACGAAACATCATGAATATGGCAATAAAGATGCAGACAACAATCTAAACAATGTAAATAGTTATAATACCTCATTTCAGGAATATAGACAGATGCTTTTCTGATATTAAATCATAATTACAGTTTAGAATTTCAGAAAAATAAGGATTGATAAGTAATGTCTCCTATTCTATAGCATCAGTATTAATCAACTTAGAAATATATTTGAACAGTAGTATGTAAATCCCTGTTCAAATATGCTTTGTGTCAGTTTGCTGTGTGATGGCATTGAGTAATAGCATTTATTAGTCAGGAGTACTACAGCCAATAATAGTAAGAGTAATAGAACTTTTGGCACTATAAGGTTGAGCATCAATCAAAATTCCCCAATCTATGAAAGCAATGAGTTTTTTTGAGTGTTCAATGTATCCACAGAACAAATCCTGAAAGAAGAATTTATTTTATATTACAACAATGCAAGGTCACATTGCAGCCAACAAATGATCAAAACATTTACAAGCTTGAAATTCACACTTTGGACCCAGCCCCAATTTGGTTGTTCCAGAAATTAAGGGAGGCATCAAAAGGTCCAGCATTTTTATCCAATGCCAAAAAGGGAATTTGCCGCATGTAATTGCACCAAAAGTAAACTAAACACTTTCTTCATGGACTGACTGCAAAAACAAATAGAACATTTCGGAAAATGTGTTATACTAAACAGTAACTATATTGAAAAATAAACTTATAATTTTGATACTAGTTTAATTATTCTATCTGGCCTAAAACTTGTTTTTATAGGACATGGGAACTTCTCAAACAACCCCTTTTAATAAAATTAAGCAAATATTAAATGTATGAACTGGCAGGAAAGTTAATTTATATACTTACAGTGTGATTGATCAATTGTGTTATAATTTTTTTGCCGATTTCTTATAGAATTCACTGGTTCTCTTTCGAAATCTCTCTCATGTTTAAATGACTGAAAGATATTCTTGGGGTTCAGGACCCACAGCTCTTCTGGTCTGTAAAATAAAAATAAAAAAATGAAACATAGATATTTGGTTTTAATAATAATGAACATTTATTTTTTATAAAGACTATTTTAATTCAGTATTTGGTTGCTTTCTTCATATAAGGTTTTTATTTATTTAAAAAAAATTAATGTCTGAATTGTATTATGGTTAACAATTGATGGATGGATGCGAGCAGCTTGATAGCTTTTCATGTGGTGTTTTAGAGCTTTTGATAATCTTGCCACATTCCATGCACAGGCAATTGTTCTCAACAAGTTAATGAATTGTGGGTTGATTGTTGTATGTTCATACATAGGAAATTAACCCTATTAACCCAGCATTTGAAATACCAGTGCAATTACAAAGATTACATGGGAATAGAGGCTGGTTGTAACTGTTAAGGCCAGATCATTCCCCCTTTTCTTGCAGTTCACATCAGAAGTACATGTCTTGTTTTATATTCAATTACTATCTTACTGATTGTACATCTCCGCAGCATTCTAACCTTAGCGTACCAATTTTAAAAATAAATACCTGCCTTTTTAATATGTATTACACACACACATATATATATTTCATTAATTATGGCAAGCAAGGAAAATTTAATTCTTTTACTTTTTCCAGCATTTTTACAACTAAATTTGTCTGTCATATGTAATGAAAGATGTTTAAAAGAAAGGTTGCTGCCCATATATATATATATATATATATATATATATATATATATATATATATATGTGTGTGTGTGTTTCAAGTTCAGTTAGCATTCATTGGATTAAGTTAGCTTCAGTTTTATCATTCCTCAATAACCTTTAGGAAATTTATTTTGGCAGTTTCTCTTCAAAGCATGCTTGTGGGTGACAAATTATTGTCACAAGCCTATCACTGCTCTATTGCCACTTCCATGGAAAGTGCTCAAAGGAAATACATTCCTTAGTTTCACCAGTTCTAACCTTCAGGGCTATGACCCACTATGCTACATACATTGTAATGAATATATATGTATTTTTGTCAGAAAAGAAATAATTTTGTTAGCATCATGAAATACTGACCACATCTGTATGTCTCTGGCAGTGCTATACCCTGACCTGATGTTTTGATCATCAAAAATACTACTGGATACATCATGAATTACAATAAAATTTGGCAAATATTAGCATTTACCTGCAACAGTTCCATAGAACACAAGGGAACCACAGAGATACACCAAACTCTATTATTCGAAATCCAATGTCATAAATATTCTGACTGATAACAGGTAACCTGGAAACAAAATAAAAATGAATGATTAATTAAAGCCATATAGCTTATTTCTTTTTTCTTCATTGTTAAAGTGTAAAATTATGAATTTCAAGAGAGTATAAATTCTAGTTTCAGTAATAACTGCATGATATCTGGGGGGAAAAGTAAACTTCTGAAAATTTAAAAAGAAAAGGTTTTAAATGTAGAAATCAAAGTGTAAGACAACTTCACGTCCCCACTTCTATTACATTTTGTTCTAGTTCTTTTTTCGTTGCCGAAATTTGATCAGTTTTGGGTTTATTAAATTATAGAAAAGTATTTTAAAATACACTTATTAACTCTCTTCCACATCAAGAAAGATGAGCATTAAAGGCATTCGTAGAATGTCAAAAATTAAAACAAAATTAAACAAATTAGAAAAAGTAACTAGAAAAAAATATCAACCAAAATTAAACATTAAATAACTTAGATAAAAAATGAAAAATTAAAGTATAAAAAAATGTGTCATGAAAAATGGACATATAAAATATTAAGTTAAAGAGCAAGAGAAAAAGTAAGCACAAAAAATCTTTTTGGAGATAATGCATTTCATTACTCTCTTACCAAAACTAGATTGAAGATAATAAAATAAAAAAAAATATGTACCAATTAAAAAAAACACAAAATACACACATTAGTAACATACTAAAAACAATATATTTAAATGCAGATCACATTAAGACCAACCAGCCATTCCTTCTGTTTACGCAAGGAAGGATGCCTAGCCCTAAAAGTTGTTTCAAGCAACTTAAGCTAAAATTAAGAGTATGATCTGCACAACAGAGAGAATATGTTCTCCCAATATGCCATGGCACATTGATATTTATTTATTAGCCGCTTCGTAATTGCAGACCCAGAAGTAACATTTATGTGAATTATCAGAAGACATCTGATGATAACTGCCAGAACATGCTGCAAAATCCTCTCCAATGTGTCCTGCCTATATATTCAGCATTTCACTAGGCTGTCTTTACAAACAAATTTAAGGTGATGTTATTTTTAATCAGTATGCATTTCTTTTATTCTATTATCCTAATTGAGTTTTGATATGGGAAGAGTGAAACCAGTTAACTCCCTAATTTTTTTTTTTGTTTATACTTTTTCTCTTGTTGTTTAACTTAATATTTTAAATATATTTGTTTTTCATGTCATAATTAAATTCAATACTTCTAACAAAATCTTTAAATACAAAAAAGCAAAAGTAAATAAAAATTTTTCAAAATTCCCAGTAAATAAGTGAAATTTATATAAATAATGCAGATTCAGTAAAATGGACAATTATTTAAGAATGCCAAAACACAGCATATAAAATGCACTATTCTGACCCCTCTTACTAATAAAAGGTACCCACTGAATCCCTGTATACTAATTTTATACTTAATTCTTACTACTGTTGGCTATATTTTACCTCAGTCACCTTTACCTAGCCCAACTCCATAATAATAATAATAATATCAAATGACATCATCAACATTATATTATTATTATTAGTAGTAGTAGTAGTAGCAGATGCAGCAGTATTTTTAACCACTTCCATAGAAAGAATTATTGTGAAAATATACCTGCAATGTTTGTTAGTACCAGCTGATCTATCATACCTAAATATACCTTGACATATTTCTGTCATCAACCAGCTAAAATTTACAGAAGAAAAAGGGACATAACTGAATGAAAATATAGGTAATGGTAAAACACTAACTTGGAAAACATAACATTAAGGTTACAGAGAAATATGTCCATCACATGAAATGGCCAAAGAATGAAAGAGTGGGTGTGTTCACATGTTTTCATCAACCTGATCCGGCTCCTTGTTGCCACATATGACTTTTTATTGATATCACTTTCAGTCAAGTGTTATTGGGTTTCTACCCTCAGCTGATATAGCAATATTTAACTGAACTTACTTGTCTCTCCAGAATTCTTTTAGGACATCTGAGAGAAGGAAGAGTGCTGTGATTAACTGTAGAATTGCCTGGATGACAAGTCCAAGCCTGGACAAGTGTAGCTGTCGTTGGTTAACAGTACATTGTGACTGAGCAAATGCTCCTCGTACCTATAAAAATATAATAAATTAAACACATGCAATAAAAAAAAAAAGCAACTTAGAAATAAAACACAGTAAATTTTTAATTTATAATAACTTAAAGGCTTTGTATGTAGATAAATCAAGTGAGTCAGATGCTATATTTGGATATGTTAATACTATGACTCAAGGAATTCTGTGTTAAATATATAGCCTGGGAGAAAAAAAAAGTTTTACAAAAAAATGTTATTGTGGGCTAAGAATATTATCAAAAAAATAAGATCTGAATGTTTTTGACCGTGGTGGTCAGAAATTTTTACCACTCATTCAAGAAACATTGGATGAAGAAAAAATATCTTATAAGTCATAAAAAAGAAATTGTTCACTTAAAAAAAAAAAGAAAAAAAAAAAAAATCACTAATCACTGTTTATTCAAACTGAGTATTAGCATTAGCATAAAACACTTTTACTAATGGCTTCATTGACTTAAAGGGCCCCAGTTCAAAATACTCTTGGTTCTGTGTGACCTGAGAAAATTCTAGAACTCTCCACATGTACATGTGAACTGAACTACTTTTAAAAGCAACGTAGTGGCGGATCCCACCCATGTGGAGGTGGAAGAATACTTGATACTTTATAGAAACTGAGCTCAAGAATTAGTGTTTATTGAGATTACATATATGTGCGTTATATATATATATATTACGGAAACACGCACATATATCATATGTATGTATGTGTAAGATATATATATATATATATATATATATATATATATATATATATATATTTTTTTTTTTTTTTTACACACACATTATATATACACTGGATGTAACGGTGCAAAATTGTCCAAATCATGTAAAATTGTCCATCCCCAAAATGTTTAATATCTTAAAAAAAAAAAAAAAACTAATTGAGTTTCTTTTTTCTAGGTTTTCAGATAAGACGTTTAGAATCAGTGAAAAACCCTTTGAGTTATTTAACTAGAAAGAGAAAACAGATTAAAATCATTTTGTATCAGCCCCACTATGTCTTCCAAACTCAGCAATGGTGAGACAAAAAAGATCATTCAGGCCTTCAGTAATGGTCCCAACCAGAGGGGTGGACTGAGAGTATTACGGGCCCTCGGACCGAAAATGCAATGGGCCCCCTTTCCCAATTTTTTACCGTTCATGCCATATATAGAGGCTGTGCAGCGGGTGATTTGTGCATATTGGCTTAAATAAGAAAAAAACTTTAGTTTAAGATTAGTGTTGGGACGATTCCTAATTTTTTTCCGATTCCAATACCAGGAAAATGTTGATTTACGATTCCGATATCAAGACGATTCCGATTCCTTGCCTACTTAGGTTCTACCTGTATGTGTAGGGAACACCAATTTTCAGCGATTACGGGAATCGATCACGGGAATCGCGGAATTGTTTTGAAACGGAAGCCAGTTTTTTTTTATGCAATCGTTTTCAATGTTAAATTAATCTTTTTTCTTTTCTTTTTTTTAATGCTTTAAAAAAACTGTCTTTTGTATTTTTGTAAATATTTTAAAGCAGGACCTTGTTAGTTCTTTTAATTTTATTCTTCGTAAATATTTCTAATTATTTTCCTTTTGACACCTAAAGAAGAATTTTAAAATTCAATGTCTGCCTTCATAAAAAAAATCCTGAAAAATATTCATTATCTAGATTTATTAAAAAAAAATAGTTAAGAAACTGTTTGTAGGAAGGAGGAGATGAAAGTCAGTCCCCCTCCCACTCCAAATATACTGTGTCTGTTTCACTGATTAAAGTGTAAGTGGGATTTATAATAAGTTTGACCTAAAAAAATGAAAGAAAGAAAAAAAGAGCAAATCAAATACATTTTAATAACGTATTTCTTTGGTTTCATTTTAACTTGTTATTTTTATGAAATGGTACATTTCTCTCTACCGGTTAGAAATATGGAAAAAAAAGTTTTCTTTTTTCAACATCAGACTAATTTAAGAGAAACGTAATGAAAGAATCGGAAATCCAAAGTATTTATTTAACGATGCGATTTCAATTCCCCCCAAAATACACGATTCTTACGATTAATGATTCCGATTAAACGTCCCATCACTATTTAAGATATGTATGCGTTTATATGTATCAAAAGATTTGAAAACTTGAAGCTCATAAAGATGTTCATGGACACATAATGATAGTAACAAAGCCGCGTAATGACATGTCAAACAAAATTTCCATTTTATTACTGCGAATCAACAGGTAAACAATGTACTAAATTATAAAATTTATAATAGATATTAAAAACAAATAAAATGTGTTAACATACACTTTTACGTCTTAATATAAGATATACTATGCTTTACAATAATACTGAACCAAAAATTTCAAATATCAACTTTCAAGGATTTACTACAGTAACAACATTGTACTCATTTCAGTAGAGGATTCTGCAATTTTATCAATAATTTTGTCTTTGTTTGATTTGATTTTCATTGCTATGTCTTTTTCAATAGCAATTAGCATAAGTGACTCCAAGTTATTTTGTGTGAGCGAAGATCTCGGCCTTGTTTTCAACAGTCTTAGTTTAGAAAAACATCTTTCACATGTGCACTGTGTTGGAGTTACAATAAATTTATATGCAGCATATAAATTTTCATATGCAGCTGCACACAGCCTGTACTCAGATAATAGCTTGAAAGCACATGACAAACAATTCTTACATGTTGTCTTGGCAGATTATTGAGTAACATTTGTATCCTCCTCCTCTGAATCCAAGCTGTCTGAATCATTTTCATTGTCATTTATATTTTCTAGCAGCCCTTTTTTCAAGTCTTTGTAGCTTGATGCAAATGAAATCAGTTCATCCTGTAGTGCCACTATGTCAATTTCTGGTATTGCATTAGCAATCAAACCTAGCTCAATGTTTTGTGGGGATGCCAAAATTTCAGAAAACCTGTTTGGATCAAAGCAGGAAATTTGCTTATAGAGCTTCTCATGAGACGAGAATCTAGCTCGCATGCTGGAGAGCACAGCATCAATAACCACATTATGGTATAAAAACCTCAAAATTTTCTTCTCGTCTGTGATACCTTCTGGTGCTGAGCGACTAGATCTCATGGTTGAAATTGACAAGCTATTAGGGACAAAAATCTTCACTCCTTCTAATTTATAATTTGCACGAACAACAAAATCAGACGCAGTTTCATAAATGCCCTTAAAATCTCTTGAGATTTTTTCAATATTTTCAATGGCTTTGTTAAGCATGCGCCAAGCCTGCATGATATCCAGGCCTGGTGTCTGCAGATAATCTGACACAGGTGTTGTAATTTCAAAAATTCGTATGAATGTAAACGCCATTAAGATGGTTTCAAATTTGCGCAAGTTTTCACTCAATTTTTGTGCTTCATAGCGAACTGATCCTTTGAAATCAGTTGTTTCGCTTACTTCCTGAAGGATGATCAGAAGGTCCGAAAAGAATTCTGATGACTGATCTGCGTAATTGCCAAACAATTTTTGTAGTGCTCTGCTTCTACTTGACCATCTAGTTCGACCAATACGCTCTAGTCTTAGGCGTTTCTTATTTCCTGTTTTGGTCTGCATATGCTCTTCCCACACCTTCATCCTTTTGTAGGAATCATTGAAAAATGAGCATAGTTCATTTAGCAAACCAAAAAGACTAACTGATGCAACACATCCACTGCTTGCATCACTGATCACCAGATTCAGAACATGTGCATAACACCAAGTATGCATGTGACTTGGGCGAGCTGCTTTCATAAGTGCCTGAAGACCAGAGTAAACACCACTCATACTTGCTGCTCCATCAAACGAATCTCCAATACACTGCCTCAGTGTCAGACCTATCTTTGCAAGTGAATTTCGTAACAGGCTGTGCAAGCATTTTCCACTTGAATTATTCACATTTACCAGGCGAACAAGTCTTTCTTTAGCTCTGTCTCCAACTACATATCTAAGGACAATGGCACACTGATCATGGGATATGTCTTGGGTAGAGTCAATTTGCACTGAAAACATCCCTGCATTTTTCACCTCCTTCACAATTTCGTTTTTAACCATGTCTGAAATAATATTTATTATCTTATTGACAGTTGTTTTACTTAAAAAAAGTAACAAATTTGCCACGCCCTTTCTTAGATGAATCTTTTTGTTTGCCTTGCAAAACCACCTTCTGTAAATGTTCCTGCAGGTGTGGATTGTACTCTGCAAGAAGCTTTATAGCCTCTAAAAAATTCCCAGCATTGTCCTGATTATTTTCATCAAATGCAGTTGCAACAGCTTCTCCATATTTGCCGCAGTAAGACAAAACTTGAAACCCAATGTAAAATATTGCATCAATTATACACTTTAAAACAGAGCGATACTGAAGAACTTGTTGGGTTCTTAAGGAGAGTTGTTCCTTTAACAAAATGTGTTTGGCGGATCTTTCACAAGCATTCAGAAAATATGCATCAGTAGAATGCTTATGACACTGGCTCTTTTCATGTTCCAAAAGTCTTGTTGCGATGTGTCTCCAATCAGAACAGCCCTGGATCATCTGTATATTTCGACTTTTTTCGGGAGCATACATCAGACAAAATGAGCAATGTAAACTCTTATTTTCTTCATTGTATGTTACCCACTTTCTGTTAATATTCCTGCCCTGAATGCCTTGTCTGTCATATACAACAGCACTATTAAATGGTATATTATATACAGGCTGGTTTGGATGAAATTTCCAGAACATCTCCTGTGAAATTGACGCATTATGGCTGGTATCCGGTTTTAAAAAATACGCACTTTTTGCATGTGTAACCTGCGTACTGGTTGTCATGGAATCAGGCCTTAAAATCTTAGATGGTGGCTCATCGAATTCGCTTTCATCAGGTGTGATTTCAAATTCAGATGGTGCTTCTGCACATGTTGATGTTTTTATCTTGTAAGCCAAAGTCAGTTGTAACTTTGTCTTGTTCAGAGGATGTAGCTTTCTTAGCAAAAAAAATGTATCAATTTTATTTGTTGTCTTCTTTATCATGGATATTTTTCTTTTTTTTTTTTCTCTTTTGAGCACCACTTTTATGCTTGTAGTCAGACATCATTAAATAGGGTTTTTAGCTACCTGCACACCAGACAAATAATTCCTTCTCGGTAAAATCTGTTTGGGGACAATTTTATAAAGAGCAAGTAAGTACACTGTAACAAAAGAAAATACAATCGATAGCAAGTATTTATGTAGAATATCAGGTTTTAAAATTATAAAATGAAAATAAAATAATACGTAATTTCAATATTTCAGAACCTAAACGAAAACTAAAGTTTCCATTAATGTAAACATAGAATTCAACTCTATTCATTCACCCTGAAATCCATGAATAAGATTGCAAAATTAGGAATGTCAAAAATCCCTGAAATTTGTGAAATATGAATAATTTCTGTTTCTTTATTAAAAAAAAAGTATCCTTTACTTAGAATAACATCTATCAGTAAGTAAAAAAATCGAACTTTTATTAACATGATCACTTACCGTCACTTCTCTACATTTATCTAAAATATGAACGCGGGTTAGTTTTATATTCGATGTATATTTGCATATTGATAGCGGGGATAGATTTTTTGGACGCTCCTTCATTGTGAAATTGTTGTTAGTTAAACTCGACACATTTCAAATATTTGAATTATTTTACTAATTAAGATCATACAAAGGTAATTTTGTAATTACACATTACATTTTTGTTCATTAATGGTTATTAACTAACAAAAGGATGGCATTTTATCGCATTTGGTTTGTTTGTTTGTTTGTTTGTTTTTAATTTAATCTACTTGCCTTCTTTTCACGAATCAATAAATAACAATTATTGGCTAAATTCGAAAGTTGAGTTTTTCGTAAATTTACTTTTTTTGATTTATTATTTCGAGTACGTATTTACAAATAATATTTCTATTTATTTATTTGGAAGTTTGTTCTCTATGAGTGAAGTAATAATTTTCTATTTAATTTTTTTTCTAAGAGTTAAAAAACAGACTTCCAAAACACAGCGACTATACTTATAAAATAATGTCTGAAGAGCAAACAAGATAAGAGACACGACTGCAATTGCACATTGCACAGTCACAGTGAGTGTACATATACGTATAAATATCTTATCAACTGAAATTATATCAATGATTTAGAAGAATGTGGTAAGATATAATGTACTCACTGGCATAAATTGACTGTTAACCCCTTCGTCAATTTAAAAACAATATTGATTAAAAAATTAAAAAAAATATTTTGCTTGAATTCGCATTATACCCTCTTATTGACATTTTAAAAACTTTGACTTAAGAAATTACAAATATTGAGTAAATTTAAATTCGCATTATGTAACAAATTAGCATAATTACAGATGTAAACAAAATAATTAGTCAATATTTTAACTTACTGAAATGCTTGGCAATGGCAACAGGCAGGAATTTATAAGGTGTCCTTTCTTTGGAAATTCTAAATATCTTGAAAATTTTAGTGTCTTTTGGGAGTGACGGGTATGGGAGAGAGAGTTTGCTAAGACTTGACCGGTACCACAGACTACAGGCGCCAGATTTATGGTCACCAGAATATTTTTACAATATTAAAATTATTTATTGCGTGTTTTCGGCCAGGCAAGGGTGCGGGTGGCAAATCAAAAAGGATCCGATAAAGCTATGCCTTGCAGTCTAGCTGGGAACCAGGTTTGAACTTACCAGTCCCAAAAAACAGAGACATTTTTTTACTGCGTTCATTCGTAAGGTTTCTTTTTTTTCTTTATATATATATATATATATATATATATATATATATATATATATATATATATATATATATATACACACACACATATATATATATATATATATATATATATATATATATATAAGGAATTAAGAATTTCTTAGAAAAGGAAACTTACAGCAATGGTGGAGAGATTCCAATTTCTGTGGATATCACTTTTATTTTATTTTTTATTCAAGTTTTTTTTTTTTTATATAATGAATCAATGTCTCAGTTTACACATTCCAGATTTATAGGTTTCATTTTATTTTCTTGTAATAAAAAATAATGCCATCTACATATAATAAACATTAATTAAATCTACATTCCTAGCAGTAAATTTTGTGTCTATATGTACAGTGTAACCCGGATATAAGAGAGTTGTTGGGACCGGAGAAGAAGTCTCTTATATCCGGGTTTGGTCTATTTTGTTTAGGTAAGTATGGAAACACTTTGGGACCAGAGAAAATTTCTCTTATATCCGGGTTACACTGTAATTTATTCAAGTTTTTTTTTTATTTTATTTTATTACCTTAAAGAAAAAATAAGATTGAAAACCTATTTTGTGTTTCTAATAAATCAATATCACTGTCTTAAAATATTTCATTCGGATTTACAATAAAAGAAATTCTTATTTTAGATGTTATGAATAAACTTTTATAATTTTTTTTTTTAACCTCTCCACACTTTTTATGCAATAATTTTTGTTTGTTAAATATACTTACCCTGAAGTAAACCTCCACACCATAAATGAGAAAGAAAGCAACTACAAGAAACATCAAGAATGCAAACAAAGCATCAAAAATTTTATTGACCAAATCCTGGAAAAGAAAGAAAAAATATTATGCATAACCAGAACAAGTTATATTAAATCTTTAGGGATATAACTTCCAGGTCTGGTTTTATTGAATAACAAAACTTGACTTTGAAACAAATATTTTTAACATACTTTTGGGAGTGTATGAGTCACTGATATTACTCACTGGATATTACTCAGCTAACAAGTATTAGACTGGTGGCTTGAAGAACATTGGTTCAGTTATATTTTAAAAGAGCTAATTTTTTGCTGAAACTAAAACAAGTTGCCATCAATATTCAGTTAATCTTACAAGCAATTATCATTTTTTTAATTTCATTATAATAGTTTGGCCTATTCATTCTCCAACCTTCAGGTAGAATTTTTGCTTGACATTATCTTGTTACTTTGTCTGTCAGCCTTGTAGGATTATAAAAAGAAATGTAAAATTATATAAAAATAATTAAAGAGTAAATAAAAATATAATAGACTAGGTTTGTTTATTACACTTTCTTTTGAGGTGAGTGTTTTACAAAAGCATCTATTAATAGAAGAAAGTTACTAACACACATTCTTTAAATAATAAAAAACTGCTATAATGAAACTAGATGGTTAGTAAAAAATGGTTTGAATAAAATTTGATGCATAAAATGTATATGTGAAGCTCAAAATGTTGTAAAAATACCACCAAAATGAAGCCTGATGGTTTATAAAAAAAGATACGTATAAAATTGGGTTTTTGAATTTGTAAAAAAGAGGCTCATGTCTGATGACCTCAAGATCTGACTAAATAAAATTTGCAAGTTTAAAGAGGTATATTTGTGATTTTTTAACTAATGGGAAAAGCAATTTGTGACAATGTGGTATCAAATATCTGATACAACCAGGAGCTGATTGATGGCATTTAAGAAATCTGGATTGTCAGACAGATGGAAGGGACTTGACTTTTTCAGGTGAAAGTTGCTGGCTGAAGGGTTTTTGATATTCACAAGGACATTGCCACTGATTATGACAAAAAGGATGTAACAAAAAAAAAGAAAAAAAAGAAAAGGAAGTAACAGAAGAAAAAGAATAGGAAGAAGCAGAAAGAAAAAAAAAAGGAAAGAAGTATCTGTAAATTTAGAGAGATATATGATTATATTTCTATAGTTGTTTGTGAAATTTTGTCACAAAATTAGAGGTATTAAACCTGATTTTGAACTTTTTATGAAAATATGAAATTTATTTAATCTCTGTAAAACCAGAAAACCAGAGATGACTTTAAATTTGCCATTCTTCCCAACAGTTGTATTGAAATAAATTAACATTTTGTTGATACTAATTATAATTGTTTTTATGAGTCCAACATAATTGTAATTAGAACTTCTTATCTTGCCTGTGTGCCAAACAGTACACAAAGAAAGATTTTGTGGAAGTTTTCTTTGTAAATTTTTTTATTCTGTGCTTTTAATATTTTTCATGCCATTTAATAAATGTAAATTTCTTTCAAATTTCACATTGGAAAGTCTTGTGTTTTTTCCTTTGCACCTTTCATAATATTCGGGATAAGAAATTTTATATTCTCTTCTCCTTGCTAAAAAAAAAAAAAAATCCTTTTAGGATATCAGATATGTTTAAATAGTGGAGTGCATTGTCAAAGTGGTCACTCATCCATTATTTTTCATCAACTATTCGCAAAGATTCATACTTTTCTCAAGTGGATGTTACATTAACAATCTCAAATTAAATTTGAACTTTTTAGCAATTTGGTTTTACATGCCTATATCTTATGCAGTCTTGCATTGTCATAATACCAGAGTATTTTTTTAATTATGAGAGGATTGTGATAGTGACATTTGTGTGCCATAGACAGATATTATCATTAAAAATATTTGAGGAAAATAAAGCTAACAAAAAAAACAAAAAAAACAAATTAATTAAGAAATTAAAGAACAGAAATGTAAAAATTACAATTTTTATTCAGATTTTCTATTAGTTCTTGTAATAATTCAAATGTTTTCTGGTAAACAAGATTATTTGCATTTAAAAGAAAAACAAAGAATCTATCCATTTGCAATTCTAAACCTTCATATAGAGAAAAACTTGAGCTTACAAAATTATGGTGGTCATTAATAAGCCCAGTCAGGATGAATCGAGTACCAAAGAGCAGATAAATGAAACTGTTAAACACCATGAATCCGACAAAAGACTTGCTGAGAAATCTTGGCTTCTCAAAAGGAATGTTCAAATGAAATGCCTGTGAAAAAAAAAAAAAAAAAAAAAAAAAAAAATGAAAGAAATCATTTTAAAACATGCTCAATATTATAACTAAACAATTATATGTGTTTTTTTTGGCTTGTTTTATATCCTGGGTGTTCTAGGGACTTAAGAACATATGTTTAATGAACCATAAAATAGAAGATGACCAAACATAATGGTAAGTGATATGTACCAAATTTTAGCATTCTCATTTCCCTTTCAGACATATCAGGAGCAATTCCCAATTTAATACAGGAAATCAAAAATCACACCATGCTCATAGCACTAGTTGCCATTACAGTGACTTTTTTTTTGAATGTGTCCAGGTCCTTCATATACAATGTTGGAAACAAGCTGGTGGCCTCTGATGGACATGTCATCTGCAAACAAGAGAAAGAAATATTCTAAGCAGTCAGATGTCATAAAGACAACAGAGTTCATCCAATGAGTCCACGAGTATATAATCAGTTGCAACAAGATGAGGACAATTGCTGAGCAGCTCAAGGTGGTGGACCATAGTAGCAAAAGTGTAGTACACTAGGTTAACAAGTACATGACTGATATAATGAGGAGTGAATAGTTTATATCTGACAAGATCTAGGAGAACTGTGTGCTTGTTGAACAGAGTAAAGAATCATGAGGTACCCAGCATGAACTAATTCTTTGCCAGGAACAGAAAGAATGACACATGGCTGTGTGGAACCAAAGTTCATGTTTTCTGTGATGGTCTCAAGAGTCATGAACAATGAAAGCCATGTCATGCTGCCTCTACTTTTTCTGCAGGTTATAAGATTAATGCCGCCATCATTGTGCTTGACATGAGAATCAAGTCATGGATTGAGAAGGAGGACTAGGGTGATTGTGCTTGTTCCATCAGGATGCACCTTCCCACATGGCCCATGTGAGCCAGGAATGACTGGCCAAGAATTTTTACTAGTCTACATATGGCCTCCTAATGCTTCTGAATTGAATCCCCTAGACTACTACATTTGGGACATCATCAAGGGGAGAATCAACAGTGGTTCCGCAATAACGAGGACTCACTAAAGATCACTATAATGGATGTGATGGCTAACATGAATAAGAACCACATGATCCAGGCATTCAGTTGCTTCTCCTGAGGCAACATTGAGATGGAGGGCAAGTTTATTAAATAAACCTTTTTTTTTATGATTTTCTCAGTTGGACATATGCACAGTTCTGAAAAATAGATTGACTTTTATACAGAATATATTTGTATTTTTTTTTTTCATATTATTTGTTCTCAATTACCTGGTGCACCCAGTAAAAAGATAAAAATATTAAAGATTATGTCAAATTTATAACTTATAGTATACCAGGGGTCCCTAAAGTATGGCTTGCAGACCATACCTAGCCTGTCTAAAGATTTAACTAATATTTGTCTTTCATTCTGAATCATAGGCTTGAAATTTACCATATTTCCCATATGCTAAAACACTACAAGTGGTAAGATGCAACCTATAAATAGATAGGTAATTTAAAAAAAAGTATTGGAGGATTTAATAGCTTACCATAATAGAAAGTCCAAATTGCTGACTATGGTGTCATTTATCTTTCTGTCACAACAAATGATCACATTTTGGACCTATTATTAAATATTTGTGGTTATTATTAATTAGGTATTCAATAGTTTGGCACAATGTTATATCTATTCACAACAAAAATAATGCGTACTTGCCACCGCAAGCCATCACAACACACGACGTGTTGACATTCAACACCTAGCTGATGTTTCAGGGCTGCATTCAAAAGTGCAAGTGGTGTGTTGCACATGCACAGTCTGCTATTACTGCATAAACATATTATTGATTATCCATTTGTACTATTAATGTTATTAACATTACCTAAGTTAATAAAACAAGGAATACAATAAATGCAGTATGTTTGTACACAGCAGCGGTCTCATCCATTTTTATTTTTGGTAGTCGGACAAAATTACTGCACCTTTATCTGTGCCTCACAACACATTAATACAATATATATGGTATGATACTAATGCAATATATGGCATTTATTACATACGAATGATAATTACAGGCTTATATGTATTGTGTTCTTGATTGCTTGTATCTTGTGACTGACAAGAGGAACAGATACTACACTAATCCTTTAACCTAAAGGCCAAAAAGTGTCAATTTTGAATCATTTGATTACAAAATATATTGAAATAAAATTTATTCAGTAATTCAAATTTTATTAATTTTTTTTTTTTTTAAATTAAATTTTTTCTTTACGGTTGCAAGATTGTGTAAAATATATAATGTGGTTCTCATACTGAAAATCCTGGAGAGCACTGGTGTATGCTACATATTACATTAAAAATCTGACCGATTATTAAACTGTGTTCAATACACAGGTATTTTGGATGTGAGACTGTTCCCCAAATGGGTGAGTTATACAGTTTGGGATAAGGTATTTTGCTGGTTAGCAAATATAGTATGTCTGTAAATAAAGATCAATGAACAGAACAATCAAATTTGAAAGAATAGCAGAAATTAACAATTTGGATCATATAACAAGAGAAAAGCAGAATATAAAATGCTTACTTCTGCCCAATAACACACAATAAGTGTAAAGCCAGTCAGTAACAATGGATAATAAGCACACCACAAGTTTGAAGAGATTTGGTCAGTTAGGTGAAGCTGGAACTGCAGATGATAAACAAAGAAGAGAAATGAATTTGTGTTTAATGGACAAACAAAACAAAGTTAAGACATGAAAATCTTTTCTTGCAAGCAGTTCAAAATAAAACTACATTGAAAATGAAAATCTTTGAAGGTATATATTTATAATACAGCAATTTGATGTTTACTTGAAATACAAATAAAAAATAACCATCTATTTGAAACTAGCCACAAATAATGGGAAAGAAATTAAGAAAAATAATATGAGAGGTTATTGAAAAGTTCTCAGCCCAACTAATAAATCTGATGTTTGATGAGATTTAGGAAAATGGGCTAGGCTGAGAACTTTTCAGAACTCTTATATATACTTCTACTATTAATATATGCATAAAAGGTTTCTGAAAAGTTTTCAGTTCCTCAAATCTGATCAAACATCAGATTTCCTTTTTTAAAGGCTTCTAGCAGGTGAAAGTAGTGAGCTTGGTTCATGTAAAAGTGGCTTGTCTTGAGTTCCTTTTTTAAGTCCTCTTTTGTCACAACGGGTCAGTTTCCTGTCAACCTGGTTAAGTTAGACTGTTTTATGCTTTCCTAGTTAATGTGAGTAAGTGTTGTTCCCGGCCTGTCCCCAGCATTCTCTTTTGTTATGATCCAGGTTGAGATTCCAAACCTCCCCAGTTTGTTTTTGGTCCCCTTTTTCATCTCAGCTGAGTTAGACTTTGTAGGTTACCCTGTGAATATGTGGTATATGTAGCATTGAATGGTGATGGATGAGTTCTTTAGGTAAACGGATTAAATGTATTTGATGAATGGGTCGTGATCGTGATTAACTAGGACTAGGATAGCTAGCGAAGACTTGCCTTTCCCCACTTCCCCTTCTATCATGTGCCAAAATTATTGTATTTTATACAGTAATAAATATATTTTTGCCTGCTGCCTGGAGAACCTCTGTCCCTTAGGATTAACCCCACTCAAAGATTTTTACCAATTGCTCAATTGCTGAGAGACTAAAGTGGTGAGACAAAAAAAAAAAAAAAAAAAAAAGAATTTAAACTACAGAAAATTGCTCAGTATTTCTTGGTAATTAAGATGGAAGACATTAAGTGAAATCCAAGTAATTGGGTGAAGAAAGAAAGTTAGATTCTAAGTTGATCTGAAGTAGATTTTATTTCACTTTAATTCAGCTTGCCAAGAAAATATAAAACAAAACAGAAATTAATATTTTCTAAATATGGAACAATCCAAATAAGAGAAATAAGGTATCTTCTACTTAATTTTATTATAATTGTACTATTAATTTGTTGTGTACAGCTTCAACTCCATTTACTGAAATCATTTTGTTGGTCAAACTATGTATTTATATAGAATGATTTGGTCAAAAACATGTGTAGCTTCATTGAAACCCACAAGCTTCACTCACTCAAAGCCATTTTTAACCATTGATCTTAGAAAGCAGTTGTTTACAGCCAACAGTTTAGATATTTTTGAAGAGGTTTGGTGTGATGCATAATATCCATATGAAAGTCTTAATCTGATGATGCTATTTAAGAACAGGACTTGAATATTTAGGTTATTGTAGTACTATGCAGTGTTTATTGAAACTAACTCTAGTGCAGCCTATTTTATGTTCAATTTCCTTTTCTCTACTAAATTTGTTATAACTGATCTATACACCCAGATATTTGAAGTGTTTAGCATTTACTAAATCCACATCCTGAATTTTTATGATGTGCCATCACTGCTTTCATTCCAATTCCAGATTGTAATTTCTGTTTTGGAAAGGTTTACCCATTTTCAAAAAGAAGAGAGACAAACAATGGATTATTTACAACAATGGGGATCAAAATGGTCCTGAGGAAAATGAAATGAGTCACTGTTAACCATTCCAAAAGCTGTTCTGCATTTGAAGAAGGTGATGCTATGTTTGGTGGGATTAGAAACGCATTGCATATTACAAGTTCCTTCCACAAACTCAAACACTGAATTCAGATAAGTACTGTTCCCACCTGGAGCAATTGGAAGCAGCAGTTAATGAAAAGCCTCTGGAATTAGTCAATTAGAAGGGTGTCATCTTCCATAAGGACAAAGACATGTCTCTTTACAGTTGCTGCAGAGATTGGTACAGCTGGGGGTGTCCTACTATACTCACCATACTCAACTGATCTTGCAACTTTGCATTATCACTTATTTCAATTCCAACAAAAGTTTCTTAAGAAAGAACTTCAATTCTGTGGAAGCCTGTAAAAATCACTAAGACCTGTTCATTACCCAGAAAAATACAAAGTTCTGAGAGAATAGAATTATGAAGCTGCCTCAAAGATGGTGAAATGTAGCGGATCAAAATGACATCAGTCAACTTGATGCCTTCCACATGCGTTGCAACAGCAAACTGGGTGATTACATTAAAAAAAGTTCTGACTAAATGCAACATGAGGAGTAGTGAAGCCAACCTGATGAAAATCCAACTCAGGTAGGCAGGACATATTTCTTGTATGAATAATAGCAGACTTCCAAAACAACTCCTCTTTGGCCAGCTCCTAACCAGCATTTCAAAGACAAACTGAAGTGATGCAGCATCCTTTTTTCTTCCTGGGAAAACAAAGCAACAGAGTGAAGGAGCTGGGCTCTTGTCCGGCTTCTCATCTATACAAAGGTTTGAGTAAGACAACTTGGACATTGCAAATATTAAAGCGAGTTGGCAGCATGTTGCTCCTCTCAATGATAGCCTTACTGAGCACTGTGGTTTTGTCATATGCAGTAAAGTAGGCCTTGTTGTCCACTCATAGAAACATGTGGCAATTGATCCACAATTATTTGAATGAAATAGTTCAAATACATGTTCCATCTATAGGATATAAACTCCTATATTTTATGGCTAATAAGTGAAGCACAAACAAGTAAGAGACACATAAATCTTACTAGATATGAAAAACTTTTTTACAATTATGTGCAAACACAGCTTCAAATTAAATAAGTGGTTTTTGGAACATGATTGGATAGGACAAGTCAGGGGTTGTGCTTTCTATGATGTTCACGTGGTTGAACTTCAAATGACTTCGAAATGGGTCAGGGCTCAGGTTACTGAGTACATTCCAGCACAAAACTCAAATAGGATTTGTGAGCCAAGCACCAGCTCATCATAAGCCATAAAAACAGCTCACCGTTAACAGCGAAATGGAATTGGTGAAAGGCAGTCAGTAAAGGACAGTCAGCTAAAGACAGTCAGGGAACCAGACCATGCCTCAATCAACAACTTAGATACATGTTACCATGACTCTACATCAGTCAGTGATGAATTTTTTTACATACAAAGCTGTAATGAAAGTAAATCCTAGATCACCTCCTTTTGTTCACTGTGTTTTAAAATTACTGCTATTGCACACAATAAATCAGCAGTCTGATTTCATTAGCATGTGCATCACACACACACACACACACACACACACACACACATGGGAGTACCATACCAGTTGATTTTCCCACTGATAACAAAAACACTTCAAAACCTTGCAGACTCACTTGCAACTCATTTCGAACAATCAAACTATTGGTCCCTTCAAGGCCACAACAAAGAAAATTGATGTAAATACATGTATCTGACTGTATAAATTTTACCGTCATATTTAGCTTGGTCTTCTTTTTCTGCAAAGATTTCTTCATGTTCTATAAAGAATTGTGATGTATTTGTGGACATGACACTCAGATTTTATTTTTCCACCAAAAATCTGAATAGACTGACCCCACACATCTGTCTAAAAGTTTACAAAACACCTGCATGTCTCGGGACACACGTGCACGTGTGTTCATAGAAGTTGAGCAACTCTTTATTTTACTGAGCTCTCATTTGTCGTCTGCGACGAGAGAGTCCACCATATATATATATATATATATGATAAAATTAATTTAAACTATTGCTGATACAATATAGGATTATTAAAAACAGCAATAAAACATGACTTGACACTTGCGTTCAAGCATTAAACAGACTGCCACTTCTGGGTGTTATCTTCAATATCCACTGTTCCCCTATGCTAATTAAGTATAAGGTGCTGAATTTTCTGAAATGTATTTCTCTATAAACATACCTACACCATGTTGTGTCCATATCCTAGTTTGTTGTATTGCTCACAAAATGTATGCTTCTGCTGATAATGCCTTTGGATAGGACAGATGTTTTGTTTATTCAATTATAATCTCTCACTTTATCTAGCAATATGATAAAAAAAGTCTAATTATTACACATACACAAAGGAAACAGAAATGTTACAGATAACAAATGAGTGGATTCCAGATAATGAAACAATAAAAACAGCTTACAGAGTCACAATATTCAGATGAAATGGAAACTACAACACTTTGTGCTAAATCCACAAACTTTGAAAGGAAATTAATTGTAGAAAGAAAGTGCTTTAACCATAACACACTCAAGGGCAAATAAGAGCAAGACTTATATTTTTATCTTACTAATAAAAATCTTTTCTTTGTAATGTCCAAATTTTTGCTGTTAAGTTATCTACCTTTATTCGTGATTTATTTATATTTTGGGTTGTATGGCTAAAGTTGTTCCATTAGAATTTCTATAATATCTGAAAAGTTGCTTAATGCTTTTTAATGGATTTATATATGAGTGATAAAAGTGATTGTTTTTTAAAAAACAAGTTTCTTATTAAGTTTTGATTACTTCATAATGGATTAAAGATGAAAAATTTAAGCACAAGATGATTAAATATTAAAATTCAAGGGAGAAACAGGAAATATAGATAAAAGTTAAAAAAAGTAATTAGAGAATATTATATAAAATTTACTTTGTTTAAATGCTATTTTTGATGGATACTCATATTCAACTAGATGCTGTTTTTTTTTAAATTAAAACAGTATTTTTTATTCAACTACATCTATTGGCCTGAATATTCAACAAATCTTCTCAGAAAAATGTGGTTCTTCCTAATTGGACCTAAAAATGCCACATGGTATGTCTTCTACCATGCCCACACGATATTTTGGCAGTATCTAAATCATGATGACTGATAAAACAACTTTTCTGATTTGTATTCTATGGTTTTATTGGTGTGTTTTAAGATGTAAGCACTTTGAGTATGACTGGTTTATAAATATTGTATTTGGTATTTTAGTGAACATGACAAAAGGCCCAGCATATTTTTGTGAGAAGATTCCTTGAATATTCAGGCCAATAGATGTTGTTGGATAAAAAATACTGTTTAATTAAAAAAACAGCATATACTTGAATATGAATATCCATAAAAGATGTTTAAACGGGATATCTAAAAATGTTGGATTTAATCCATTTCCTCTTTCTCTCTCTCTCTCTCTCTCTATATATATATATATATATATATATATGCAACATACCCAATATTGTCCAGGCAAATCTATATCTATAATTCTCAAAATGTGTGTGTGTGTAATCAGATGTTTATGCATTTCCACAATTTTCATCTGATTTCAATGAAATTTTTTTTGTTTGATAGATAATTCTGAAGTGCCAGTTTTGAGTCCAAATTGTCGGCAACAATGGCTATCCACTACTTCCTGTCCATTATAACTCTCAGCAACCTTTTACTATCTGTTCTATTTTTCATAAAAATAATTTAAATTATTACAATAATATTATTTATTATTATACAGTTCCCTCTTGAGGCCCCACCCCCATTTGGGAATGTGCTTCAGTTGCACCCAAATGTTGTTACTAATATAGATTTTTGGGTAGGCTGACTTTAAATTTAAACTGCTCCAACTGAATGGCAAAAATTTCCAGTAATGAAAGACCTGGTCAAAGATGGGTTATACTGCTAGACTCTTCATATATTTATTATTAACTTTTTTGCTGACCCATTCTTCTTCCCACCCCTCACAAAATCTACCCATGGAGTGGTTGAAATATTGCATTCAAAACATCAAGTATATAAAAACAATAGGTGTTCAATTATATGAACAATATTGTGTTAATGACTTCTCAGTGTTGACAATATATATATATATTTAAAGTCATTATAAAAGAATTTTTTCATGTATTTTTTTTTTATAATATAAAAATGTTATATTCCATGCTAATAGGAATATATACTTGAAAAACAAGGTGGATCAAATAAGTAAAGGTTTATTGTAAAAAAACCAGTACAATAAGAATAAAGGTAATAGTTATGCACAAGGTTGTCACAAATCAATCCAGTAGTGTGTGCCTATCACTCATGGGCATGACAGGTTATTCCATTATATCAAATAATAAAAAAACTGGTACAAATTTATTTTTACATTACGGATTTTTATCTAAGAAAAAAAAATTTCTGCTCTTATCGCATAAGAGCAAAGTCTCAAGTTTTCACAGCTTATATTATCATTTGTCCATAAATTTATAAAGTATTTGTTTCTATTGTGAAAAACAATACAATAATTTCTTTATTTACCTTTGAGCTTTTATAAACTTAGTAGTTTACCTGTGCCATCAAAAAATGGTATATTTTGCAATTACATTGTACTTTTATTAAAAAACATCTTTATGCTGGTGTGTATTTCTTATACTTACTGAATATTAAAATAAATTAACAATAACAGAATGATCATATGCCATATTTTCTTGCTATAAATAAAACTATAATAATTGAATATTAATTTTTTAATTATTTATAATAAATGAAATTAATTCTAATATATGAACATATTTAAACAGAGCTTTAAAGATTTATTTATCTACAGAGCTAATTACAATTTAAGAGTTCCTTTAACATAAAATTTCTAGTATAAATATGTTGCAGCATTTGTATTACATCATCAGAAAAGTTCACTATATAGCGACAGAACAGTAATTATTGTATCAGTATTTGTTTTGTGAAGAAAGGGGATATATTGCTTGACATAATCATACAGACAACATTATACAACATTTCCTCTAAAATCTATTGCTGATACAATGTGAGATTATTAAAAACAGCAGCAATAAAAATAAAAGTGATAAAATTGAATGAAATTGGTTGCGTGTTTAGATACATCAGATGCCAAAAGTTTTAATTTAATGCTGAGCATTTCCGTATCTAACATTTTCAATGTAACTGATAATTGAATTTTCATGCCCATATATATATATATATATATATATATATATATATATATAGAGAGAGAGAGAGAGAGAGAGAGACCAACTCCATCAATAAAACCATTATTAGTATCAAGAGGTTCCTTCGGGGTGAAGCACACAAGTTAAGATTATTTTGTCTTTGCTTATTCCATTTTGCCATTTAATTACCCACTCTTTGTCTGATATATAGATTTGCATATCTTTCATATTGTTGACATGAAAAACCTACAAATATTAATACAAGAAACTATTGGGCTTACAGCCACATCATGTTGAAACACCGGTTCCTGTACAATCACCAAAGTAAGTAAACAATGTTGATCTTGGTCAGTACCTAAATGGGTGCCTGCTGGGGTAATGCCAGGTGCTGTAAGCTTTGATGTGCAGGTGGTGTAATGGATAATGGCTCATAATTGTTAATCAGAGAGCCAAGTTCCAATTCCTGTTAGATTCATTATATTCACTTGCACGTAAATACTCTTGTGAAAGGTATGAATCCACCTCTCCTCCCCTCCCAGATATGGGTCAATTAGTAAGACTTGGTATTACTAAACCGTTATTATCCCTGACCCCACAAAAATCTTACAATCTGAAATTATTTTCTGACTTTAAATAACCTGCAGAGTTGATAAACTGTAGAAAACAAATCAATCAAGAAACAATATCAACCAATTCCTATACTAACAGGAATAGTTTTTTCCTTAATGAGGAAGGAGGGCTCAGAAAAACTGATATTCACAGAACAGGTTAAGAGGGACAGAGGAAAACAGTGCATAACACATTTGATGAGCTTGAGTAAATGGATGGTGGAACAGGGTTTAGGGAAAATAATGAAAAGACAAAATTGATTAAGAGTTAAAAAGGACAGGAAATTGTAGAGAGCCATGATCTCCAATGTCCTGAGGGGGACACAGCACACAAAAATAATAAAAATAAGGTTACTCTCAAAGACTGTAAGAAGCTATTTAACTTGTTGGGTTTATGGTCATATCAAGTTGAAGCACAGATTCTCCTACAGTCACCAAATTACCAAGATGGGTACCCTTAGAAAAGGGTATGAATCCACCACTTCTCACCCTAGCTATGGGTTAATTAATAGGATTTGTATCTGTAAATAATTATTATCTCCAAATAATTCTTACAATCTAAAGACATTTCCTGGCTTTAAATAACCTGCAAAAGGTTGATAAGCCATAAAAAACAAATCAATCGATCAGAACTTAACCTGTTGATCAATTCAGACCGGAGTTATATGCTTACAAAAGAGATGTTTATATGTTTCAATCTTTACTAGTAAATTTTAAGTTGCTGATAAATCCATTAACAATTTCAATCATCATTGTAAGACAGACAAGTCAATTTTTCATAAAAAGAACAAAACGAAACTTACCTTAGTAAAGAAGTAAACAGCTCTGATGGCAGTAGCACAAATGATGAGAGCGTAAAGCAACTTTTGTGTTGTTATTTTGAAGGCACTCCAGAAAGAGTGTTTTTGTTCTTTGATGTATTCAGACCAGATACACACACACTGCAGTTTTTTTTATTAAAAAGGAGAGAGAGAGGAAAAGAACATTAAAATTGTGTATATTTACTGTTTCTACTTAACTGCTCAATATCTGATTGTCTGCATTATAAATGTGTTTACTCGAAACCTCACAACATTTGTATTAACTTTTTAGCACTCTGCATTATTCAAAATCATTACTACCTTTTCTATTCTAATGGTGGCCCTGAGTAGATTAGTTCTTGGTTTCAGTCACTGTTTGTTTTAACTGTTGCTCTAGCAAGACATGACAACACAATTCATACAGGTTTGCCAATAGGAATAGATAGATTTGCCTATCATCTGGTTCACGCTCCTCCCTGGTCTTTTGAACAGGAATAGAAGCTTATCCCATGTTTTCTGTTTAGGATGAGGTTACTGATTTCTTCTAAAGTTTACTTCAACTCTATACTCTTAATGTCTCCGCCTGAACTCTGAAATTTTATTTGCTAATTAAATCTTAACCTCTTCAAGTCTAAAATTAGCTATGTTGCCTTTACACTAATACAACTTCACACAGTAGCCCTCTACCTTGAATGGCTCTTGAGCCTTGTATTAGGTGAACATTAATAAAAAAAAAAATTATGATAAATGTTTTACTCATTAATTGAAGTTGCTCTCTGAGTACTAAAGGTCAAGAACAGATCATACATGGATTAATATTCTTTATATTAATTTAGATTTTCTTTTTACTGAAACAAAAGGATAACTGTGACCTTAAAAATGTAGTCAAAATTTCATGCCAACTTTGAAAATAGGTGTCTTCAAATAGATTGGGACTGATCCAATGTAAACTGATTTTTATTTTGTTTTTAACTATTTCAAAAACAAATGTCATGAGATCTTTTAAAAGTGAGTGCTGAAAAGTGTGATACACAAAAGTTCAGCTGCAGAACTCTGTGAATCAGATTTTATGATTGTTCTTAATCCTAAAAGTATTAATAGAATATTTTGTAACCAAGAAGTATAATTCAGTGCTGTTTTCAGGGATTCCTTCAGAGAATGATGAAAACATTATCATGAATTCCTTCAGAGAATGATGAAAACATTATCAGAATGGTAAGCAGTTGTATTAATTCTGGTTGTACAAAGCAAGTTGGTTAGAGAAGAAAACAGTGAAGATTCAAATTGTGTTCCTCTATTCATGATAATGGTAGAGGGAACATCAAATCTGCTGACCCAACTAGTTATAAAACCCTGTGCAAGTGATTTTACACTGATATTAGTAAGAAGAATTATTTCAGGCCAGCAGGTGAATCTATCAATGCAGGTGAGGAAATAGTAATATTCATGAAAGGAAGGGAAAGTTCCGTAATGTCGATATGGACATGGTCAAATTAAAAAAAAATTTAGGAACTGATTTAGTGGTGTGTTTTAGTGTGAAGCATTTGCAGCCCTTTTAGTTTCAGCCTGGAAAGTACATATCAGCAGCTCGAAAGAAGTAAACCCAGAAAGTTTACTTTAGGGTTCATGTGTTTTAATTTTGAGAGCTGCTACTGGTTTATTTAGACTTCTACTGCTAATATCTTTAATGTAACTACATGTGTTTTTGAACTGTGATTGCAACTGGATCCTCATTATTGAGAATTATGAATTTTGTTTATTGATAATAGTTTATCTGAGAACCTGTATTTACTTATAAAGTTCAAAATATTTAAAAGAATACTATGTAGAGACAAAACAAAATAATTAAAAGTTCAAATTTTTTTCCTTAAATTTCTTCACTCATTAAAACAGTTTCTATTTTAAATAATGTGCTATTATAAAAATTGAATTTGTTAAACAAACTTTAACCAAACACTTATAAAAACTACAGATCTTTGTTAACATACTGTCAACCATGAGAACTTGTGATTGTCAGCTTTTATTATGATGTTATCTACAAGTTTTCTCGTACTTAGCATTTTCTGATCCATTTTCATCTGTGGGGGGTCAACAAGTTTATTCTCAGTGATACTTTTCATGTGAAAACAATGTTAAGACTTCAGTTGAAGCTATAAATCAACTCATATTTTGTTTTTTTTGATTGCCTAAGTTGACCATTATAAAGTTAGTGCTTGAAGTCAGATTTTGTAATTGATCTTTTAACAAGTGAAGACTGATAATTGTTAGGCCATCAGCACCTCCCCAATAAGCAATCTATTTTTTTCTGAAAAATATTATACATTGTAAAGCAGCAACTAACTGTATATTTGGTTTAAATAACCACATGTGTTATTTTTAGGGTAATATTCTGTATTTATTTTCAAACTGAACAAAATCTGTTATTATATAAATAATAATCAATCACAATAGAATTAGAAAAATAATCATTGATTTATATCCAAATAAATTATAAAATTATCAATTATAAACTAGAGAATCTTTGTTACAATATCAGGTCAAAAATGTAAACGATTTTGTTAACGTTTTAATTAACACTAATTAAAGGAATAATTATGAACAGGGACTGAGGAGTTCTCACTCTCTGAGTCACTTCCCAAAATTAGTAATCTCATGTTTAGTCATTAAAATACTGATTTTCTTGTAGAGCTGATAATTTTTCAGGACCTAAATGTAATTGAATGAATGAATTACTAATTTTAAATGATTAAAAAAAAAAAAAAAAAAAAAAAAAAATGTTAAATCTTAATAAAATATAAACAATAATTATTTAATCTCACAATCTTACAAAGAAAAAAATTTTAAGAGTTGCCAAGAACTGATTAAGAAAGTCTTTTTTTTTACTAATGATAGAAAAATATGAACAATTAACAGAACCTCTGAAAGGTTGGTTATTTTGATCTGACTTTTGCACAAACAATTCTTGAAATATTTTTAGATAATTTTTGTTTTTTAGGGATGGGGCAAAACATCCCAACCGTATTATTACTGCAATTATTTATAGAAATTTACAACTGTATTATTAACAATATAGTTAACAAATATTTAATGGGCCATCCCTTTAGTATCTAAAGGATTAAAAATGTCACATTAATAGTTTCTTTTGTTTTTTTACATCATAATTGCAAATGATAATTTGCAAATATTGTCCAGTTAGTATAATGACCAGTACTGAATATACTAAAAACATGAGAATATAAATATGCATACTTACCAGTTGTATCAAGGAAACACAGGATAGGATAACAAAAATGGATCCAAATGCAAGGTAATAATCTTTGTTGGAATCATTACAGGATCCACCACTGAACTGAACCTGAAACAGTAGAAACATTAGACATGTTAAGCAATTAAAGCAAGATCATTTGTGATACAGAAATGTAAACTCTTTAGTGGAAAAAAAAATAATTAAGATTAAGAATATATAAAAATGTTATCTAAAAGTTCAGAGAGAACTTAAAATGAAAAATAGTTTCCTCAAAAGAATAAAATGATAGAAAATGACCATCTTTATTTTTTGGTGATGTGATCTCAAGGGATGTGTGAAATTTTGGACAAGACAGAGGAAACTGACAAATAAACCCTTTAGCATTCAACCCTCCCAAACTCATCCCGTAAGCACTGGCTCCCAATGTTCAACATACCATAACCTGCCTCACATATACTTTGCCATAAGATATTCCAACATCATCGCAAATAATGCAACTGCAAGTTATGCAAAAACAGATTTTGAGAGCCGATATTTATAGGGCGGGTTTGGGTATGTTGAATGCTAAAATGTTAAAAAAATCTACCGATTCCCTGAACTTTTGGTTAGCAACTCATATGTTCCAAATATAGATTCAACACCAGTTTTCCAGTAACTAAAACATATATATTTCTTTTAATTTGGTCATAATTCATAATTATGAACAATTATTTGAATTTTGTATGATTCCCAGATTAATTCACTGTATGGTCACAGGTGATATTCTGTTTAATAATTGTTTAAAAGTTTTTTAAAAGTTTTTTAAAAGTTGATGATGCTGCAGAAATATGACATTTATGGGTTTAAATTTTTTTTTTTTTTAATCATTTCATCTCCAAGCAAGTTGTTAATGCCAATAAAATGCAAGAGTTTACTGGGAGTGAAAGAAAATGTGAAGACGTTAGTGAGAGGAAAAGACCATAAAAGATAAGGATTCAGGAAGACAGAAGATGGTGACAATTGACATTGCATTTAAATTTTTGAAGATCATAGGTGGCAGGAAAGCAAGAAACCAGACAAGAGTTACACAGGTGACAAATGGGAGAAAAACTATTTGAATAGAACTTGCATCTAGCTATTTCAACAGTAAAATGATGAGACCTGGTTGCTAATTTTGTACTATGCTTAAATTCATGTGATCAAGGTACCAAAGAAGAAAGCTCATTAGAACAACTGACATGAAAATATTTATAGAAAAGACACACGGAAGCCATACGATGGTGGTCGGAAAAGGACTGAAGTTGAGTTTCCAGGTCAGAGCTGATAACATTACAGACCCTTCTTTGGATTTTGTCAAGGATCTCAAGATATATAGCAGGAACATCAGACCAGATATGGCTGCAATATCCAATGCACAGTAGAATGACAGATTTATAAATGTGCAAGATGGATTTTGGTCAGCAAAATTGTCTAGCACAACACAGTGAACCAACTTTCCGAGCAGTAGACCTAGCAATCAATTTGATATAATCATTTCACTAAATGAAAATGTGAGACTAAGCTGAAATGAGTTGTTCTCCTTGCTAATAGATGATAAAGGTTCTCTATGATGACTAAAAAAATAGTAGTTTTTTCCATGTGTTAAAATTTACAAGCTATTTCTTGCCCTAGTTAACAAGTAATTGGAGGACATTTTCAAGATCAGCTTTACATTATTGGACCTATCAGACCTACTGTTAAGACAGGAATAAATAGTTGTACTATCAGCATAAGTACTGAGTTGGGAACTGATGACGCCCACATTAATGTAAAAGGATCTAGAAGTGTGGCAGTCCAATATGACTTTCATTAAAGAATTTGTTAAGAGAGATTAGATCAAATCAAATATCTGGCCAGTAACACTAACCCTTCTGCTTGTGAAGAAAGCCAGCATGCCAAACCCTGTCAAGTGCCTTTGAGATATATAAAGTCACAGTTTGAGCCTTGATGTTCTTATCTGAAGCTTGATAGACACATTCAGCATTAACTGTTAACACATCAGTGATTGACCTAGAGAAGTGAAAGCCATATTATCTGAAAGGCCATTCAAAGTGAGATGGTTAAACAATTTGAAGTTGATTAGACTGAGCATCTAGACTATAGATTAATAGGATGATAATTTGAATGATCAGAGAGTTCATCAGAGTTCTTAAAGACAAAGTACAGGAGTAGATTTCTGACAAACTGAAAAGCAAATAGCAACAAGGCATTTGGTGTAGAGTTTGGGGAGAACAGGAATCATTTCAGGAATACATTTCCTTAGAACAATTAAAAGGATACAATCAAGTCTGAATGCTCTAGTTTGGAGATGATAGCAGAAAGCATGCATGGATTTATGTGCATATCACTCAGTAGAGACTCTGTTTTTGGTGGAAAATCAGGCAAAGATACTCCTGATGAGTCAAAAGTTGGAAGAGAATTTATGAGCAAAACATTCTGCTTTATCAGCAGTAAATAATACATCAAATTGATTGAAGAGTAGATAGACTGAGGATTTACACTTGCTTAAAACTCTCTTACAGAAGTGCCAGTAATGACAAGAACCAAACTTGAGAGAAGTTATACTGTCTCATTCTATCAGTGAATAACCACTTAGCCTTATTGAGAACATACTTACATTTGTAATAAATGTAGGCATGTACTCAATGAGGATAAGTCACTGTTGGTATTAGGAATATAAGTAGGTGTCAGTTATAATCTGAACCATCACATTGGTATAGAAGGAAGAAATAAATCCTGTGGGCTATAGCAACTGAACAGGTAGGAGTGAACCAAAGAGAAGATTGTAATTTTAGATGGTATTTCCACAATGACACAAAAGCATTGATGCTAGCTTTCACCCAGAATGTAACTTCAGTGGCAAAATTTTAAATGGGATGATGAAAAATTTAATTCCAGGGTATCGCAAAGAAAATCATGAAATGAATCCCAATCAGTGTGCTGGTAACAAAATGATGACCTGTGGATAAAGGATTCTTGCTTAATAGAAGAGTGGAAAAAATATCTACAGATACTACTGCATGATCCAAGAGGACAGAGTTACAAAGTGTAATAAGAGTCTGGAGAGAAGGTAAGGAACAGATCAAGTAAAGTAGCATATCTATCAGAATTACTAGGGAAACAAGTAGGGAAATCTACTATTTGACTGCAAAGTTGAGCAATTGGGAAATTCAAAGTCTGGATGCCAGCTAGGTCAGTGGTATTAGAATGAAAACACCATATGACATGATGAGCACTAAAGTTGCCAAACAACAATATTTGCAGACAAGACATGAGAGAACCATTTCTACACTGTCAGATATTCTATCTAACAAGGAAAAGTCTTGGGAAGAAGGGGAATGATTAAGGAAGAAGAGATAACTAACAGAGTTTAAAAGTGAAAGTCAAAAGAACATACAAGTACATTCTGAAGATACAAATGATAATTCCTTTATTATTTGGTGATTTTCCTGAACACCAAGGCTATGCATGTGCAACCTAGAATCCTTTCAATACAGTTGAAGATAGCAAGTAACAGAGAATTCAATGATAGGGATTGAGGAGTTTAAATTAGCTTCACAGAGCATTAGAATGTTCAGAGAGTGTTCTAAGTTTCTATACTACAGAAATTGGCACAGATACCAAGTATGTTGGAGAAAGAAAAGTCGAGAGGCATAAGTGTTTGCTTTTTTGTTTTTTGCAAACTGGTTTAGTTTTATTAATTATTATATAGGATAAACTTTTAGGGCGGAAAAGGTCAAGAACAACAGTCAGTGTCCATTATCTAAGGTAGGGATGGTCACACTGCGGCCCACTTAATATTTTGATGTGTCCCACTGCACCCTAAAATCTTTAGGTATATTTTCATTTACTTTACATACATTGAGAAAATTATTCTCAGATTGTGTTAGTTAGTTTTCCCTTTGTATCAAAAGAGGAAGGGGCCCAAGACACATTGGATGGTGTGTGGGGCAAGTAATAATGATTTATTTCTTAACTTTTTTTTACAATGTCAATGGATAGTGACTTCAAACTTATGCAGAGTGATTCAGAAAATGTAGTATCAGGCAGTTTTAGTGACTCAAGGCTAGGCCTAATGCTAAGTGGAAGGGGCTAATTTAAATTTAATCTTTATTTCTTTCTAATTTCAGGTATATAATACAGACATAGGTTTATCTATATATTTTTTTCGTTAACATAATAATTTAAATACTTTCAACACATTACAATTATATTCATAATTATTTAGTTAACTTTAATTTTATATTTTTAATAACCCAGCATTTGGTTATGGCATCTAATATGAAGAAAAGGAAAATAACAGAAGAAAAGAGAAAATTCAATATTCTATGGGCAGGAAAAATATTTCCTAATTAAAACATGCAATAATATTATCTGACTCAATTGTCATAATAAGACTACTGTATGCAAGGAATATAATATTAAGCATCACTATGTTGTCAAGCATGAGTTGGAATATAATAAATTAAACAAAGAAAGAAGAAGAATGAAAATAAATAAATTAAAGAAGCAATTTAGTTCTTAACAAAACATTCTCAAAAAATTTGTTGTTAAAACATCTTCAAAAGTTAGCTTATTTAATAGCTGAAAAATTGGCTTGGAAGGGCAAGCCACTGAGAGATGGTAAATTAATAAAAGAATGTATTGTAATTGCTTTTAATGAATATTGTACTGAGAAAGTGAACTTATTCAATGAAATGAGTCTCTCACATCAGACAATTGATAGAAGAATTGATGACATAGCTGACGGTATTGTGAATACATTATGGACCCAATTATCTAAATGTGTTTATTTCATTTTAGCAATGGATGAAAGTACTAATCAAAGTGACACTGCACAATTAGTTATTTTCATCAGTAGAATTGATGTCAATTTTAATATAATTGAAGAAATATTGAACTTATGCCATGTGAAGGATACAACAACTAGCAGGGACAAACCTGAGCTCGTTAATCTATCAATTGAAAAGTTCAATATTGATAGAAATAAAATTTATTTGATTATAAATGATGGTGCTCTTGCATTAATTGGTAAAAATCATGGATTTATTGTCTTAATCAAAGAATCAATTGATCATGATATTCTAAAC